ATAATATACGAGAATTATTTGTATAATACGTGAACTTTGTGTGAATTATTGAAAATTTTCTAAAAAATACGGGTATTAAGCATTATAAATGCGTATGTACATGTACAATACGACTATTGTACGTTTGTTTTTTCAAAACTAGTAGACACGTATAGAATACGAATGTATTATTGAAAAATACATACGTACGTATATATATATATATATATATATATATATGTATAAAAGACTATAAGATATTAATTAAATTAAAGAAGTTGGGGAAAAAACAAAAGTAATGAAACTAATTTTATATTTGTATAAAAAAAATTAAAAAATATTGTAAGATTTGCATTCAAAACCCTAAGGTGGTCTTCTAATCATTTAAGGATAACTAGTTCAATGTCAATTAGGATTACATGGATCGATTAAATTTAAGGCTTGATATATATGACTGATTTAAGATAAATACAAGTGCTTAAGGTTTCCTAATTCTAAATGGATTGAGATACCTACTCCTATTGGTTAAAGGAGTTTAAGTAATCCATGATGAGGAGGATACTTAAACTACACCTATAAAAGGGAGGTCCCTATGCTAATGGCAGAATAACATTCTCATATTATTCTACCCCATCAAGAAGAGACTCAAGAGCCGTATAGCGTAGAGTTACTGCCCTAATACAAATCTGCCCAAACCAGTCAAGAACACAGCTCCTGCAGAATTCCAGTTTCTTCCCAAGCAAGTAATCAAAGTTCCTGCTGCAGTAATTCTCACAATGTCGAATCAAGGTATGTGTTGTGAATATATAAACCTAGTAAAGTTTACATTTGGTATCAGAGCCAGGTTTATATGTTCTTAACCTAATTACAAGATAAAATTTCGCTTTAAAGGATTAAAATCTGGTTTAAACAGTTTTGAATCTGTTTTTCTTTTATGTCCTTAAACTAGTCATTATAGCATGTACGTTTGATTGCATATCTTAATTGTTAAGGTATGAGTTAAGCATAAAGTTCTCTGCTTAAATCATGCTTGAAAGACTGATTGATCAAAGTTTGGGGAGGATCTTGAATCAATTAAGTAAGCCACAGCAACTTAATCGATGCAGGAAATTCTTCATTCAAGGTTCTTGATCAAAATTGCATTATATTCAATCTCTCTTGTACAAATCTCTGTCCACAGACGTGAATTGTGCAAGAAGGATTGATTATAATGGAACGGTTTAGAACAACAGATTGTATGGGCAAACAATGAGTGTTCCTCTATCTACAGATGTGGAATCATTCGTTGTATCAAGACTGCTTCTACAGATTTGCTGTTCTAAGACCATGGAACATGTTTGATTTGTGACCTACAGGTGCAAATCAACAATGTTTAATTAAGGTTATTGGGGATTTGTATTTATGTTTTCTTGAAATTACAGTGAATGCTACAAGCTACAACTCCATCAAAATCTTGACCGGTTCAAACTATCTAAAGTGGAAAGAAGAGCTGGAAATTTCACTAGGGCTGATGGACTATGATATAGCTCTAAAGTGGGATGTAATCAATGAACCTGCTGCAGATGTCAAAAAGAAATATGAAAGGTGGGAAAAGGCCAACAGGATGGCTACACTGATTATGCTGAAAACCATGACACCTTCTTTGAGAGGTAGCATTCCAAGATCAGAAAGTGCTAAGGATTATCTTGCTGCCATTGGTCAGAAGTTTAAGGAATCTGAGAAAGGAGAGAAAGGTGCTTTGCTGAACAGATTGACTGAGATGAAGTATGATGGGCGAGGGTGCTTTGCTGAACACATAATGAATATGGCAGACATTGCACACAAGCTAAAGGAATTGAAGATGACTATAGATGATGATATGATGGTGCATTTTGCATTGAATTCACTGCCAAAAGAATTCAAAACTCTCAAGAGTTCTTATGTAGCTCAAAAGGAAAGCTGGACATTGGATGATCTCATAACAATAAGTGTTCAAGAAGAAAATAACATCATCATGGAAAGGGGTCAGAAAACTGTGAATATGGTACAAGATTTTCGTGCCAAACAATTCAAAGAAAAGAAGGGAAATTTTGCAGAAAAGAAGGGGAATTTTGCAGAAAAGAAAGATAAGGAAAATACCAAGATAAAAGAGGGAAAACCAACTGGATTGAAATGCTATTTCTGCAGAAAATTTGGACACTTGAAAAGGAACTGCACAAGGTACCAGAGGTGGTTAGTAAAGCAAAAAGGAAAAGGTGAAGGTAAGATTGAAAACGCTTTGGTATGTTTTGAATCAAATTTAATTGATGTTTCAACTGATACTTGGTGGTTAGACAGTGGTGCTTCAATACATGTTGCTAATTCTTTGCAGGGGTTCATAACCAAGAGGCCACCAAACAAGGATGAGGTGAAGGTGTTCGTAGGAAATGGAGTCAAAGTACAAGTGGAGTTCATTGGAGCAGTTAGGATTCAACTAGATTCTGGTTTTGTTTTGGATTTGGTAGATGTAGTATATGTTCCTTCTATGACAAGGAACCTTATTTCAGTTGCTAGGCTTGTAAAATCAAAGCTCACTTTGAGTTTTGATGAATTTGGTATTTCAATTTTCAATAATAAAGAGTTAGTTGGCAATGGAATCCTTGTTGGCAATATGTTTCAGTTAAACTGCAAGACTCCTCAAATGGTTATGAACATTACAAGCACAAAACGTAAGAATCAGATATCTGCAAAAATTTGGCACAAGAGACTCGGCCATATTTCAAAAGAAAGATTGAACACCCTATGCAAAGAATCTGTGTTAGCACCACTTGATTTTAATGAGTTGGATGAAAATTGTGTTGAATGCATAAAAGGAAAACTAACCACCTTAAGGAAGAAAGGAGCAGTAAGAAGTGAAAATTTGTTGGAATTAATTCACAC